TTTTGTCCCTATTGAAGTGAAGAGTTATGAATTTTGTCCCTCAAAAAAGGACATAAGTGATCTGCGAAATTTTATATTCTAAATACTTTAGGGATCCATCATTACTTGCAGGCAATAATACTAATAGTTGGAAGAATATTCATCTGAACTATTAATGGAATAACAAACCACTTTTGAAATTACAATTAGAATAGCAATAGTCAAAACAAGTAAGTTAGTTAAAAATTTAGCTTTAGTAGCATATTAATATATAAAATCTACAAAATGTTTAATAAAATACATATAATTAGCCTAACAGAGAAAAAAAAGAACAATTGTTAAATTTATTAAATTTTAATTCTTGATATTAATAAATAAATATTAAAGAAAAAAATAAAAAAAAGTTTTATAAATAAATATAGTTGTTTTTAAAAATTTGAATTCATTTACTATGTTTTTATTATGAATTTCAACTTTAACAATTTTAAATCCTTAATTATATGATCAAAAATTATAAAATTTATATATATTATATCTTGGTACTAGTTTCATTTATAATATTTTTTTTCAAAAATATTATATATAATTTTTAAGTTTTATTATTGTTAAAAAATTTCTTTTTTTATTAAAATTTTTGAAAAAATTTTGATTGACTATTATCATAAATGAATAATAATTAATAAAAAAATAAAGATATTTAACAATAATAAAACTTTAGAATATATTAATAAAAAATTTTTTTAAAAAATATAAGAAATAAAATAAGTATTAAAATATAATATACTGTATATAAATTTTATAATTTTTGACTATATAATTAAGGATTTAAAAATTGTCAAAGTTGAAATTTATAATAAAAACATAGAAAGTAGATCCAAACTTTTGAAAGCAACCATATATATATAATATTATACTCTATATATTAAATTAGAAGAATTAATTGAGTTGAAATATACAAATTTTTAAAAAATATATATTAATTAAACTAATAAAATATTATTTATTATTTAAAAAAATCAATGATCAAAATAAATAAATAAATTACTCAAAAAATATATTAGTCAATATATTTATTTGTCTATTTAATTATTTTTTAATGTAATAATATTTTTCAAAAAAAAAAATTAATAATAATGGTTATTTATAATCATTTCAGAATTTTTTTTTGTATATTAAAGAAAAAAAAATATTTATTATAGTAAAATTTTTTTATTTTATTTTTTATTTGTTTTAGATTTAAATACAATATTATATACTACTTATGATTGTAATAAAAATTTTGCGACTATTTATTTTTAAATTAATGTTTCAGAATAAAATTGCTGATTAATTATTAATAAAACTTAAATTTCTATTCAATTATATTATGAATTATACGATATAATTTAAAGATTTTATTTTTAATTAATTAATTAATTATTAAGTTACAAGAAGAAAAATAATTCCGATTATCTTTGTTTCACACTATATACATATATAGCATGTAATAAATCAATATATACTGTATATACTATATATTTTTTAATAAAACTATATATTTAATGTTGACTCTATTTAAAATTAATATAAATACTTTTCGATCATATTTGAGATTTAATAGCTTATAAATATTTGATCTAATCTACTTTTAAAAAAAAATTGGGTGAATACAAAATTTTAGCAAGACTACAATTAAAATACTTTTAGATAAGTTTTAATTTTCGTTAAATCGTTTCTAAAAAAAGTTTAAATAAATAAATTTAATATGGTAAGTGTAAGCATTTCGTTAAACTTAATATTACTAAATAAAGTTAGAATGTTCCGATTTTTATAGCGGTATCCGAATATTGTATTTTAAGTATGTAATTTTTTTTTTAATTTGCAAAGCAATATGGTAATATATTACAAGGTTAGGAGTGGTGGGATGAAATAAGTACAAATGAAAGGTGAGAGGAACCGTTTATGCTTGATCTATTTGAGTTTAGTATTGCATAGAAGAAATCTACTTTTAGTCAAGAAGTTTTGCCGACCACTTCGGTCCCAGAATCACGCTCGCCCTCTTCTGTATCATCCTTGCCGACTTCCATGCGATTCCCGAATCGGTGCTACAATGTGACGAATTGCTGCCCGATGAATACCTGTTTATGCGTGGTAAATCGTAGTGGATGTGGGGTCTTATGGCCACGTAGTCGATCGTCTTTCATTAAATAGGGAAGAAAGAAAGATTAGAGGGGTTTTTGAAAAAGTAAGCATCCCTTTTTTAATACTTACGAATCCATGTCCTGAATTAAAATCCCACTGCGCATTCTTATTAAACGTTGTCAACTCAAAATTAATCTTCATCGCCTTGCGCAGTTTCATCTCCTTCAGGTTACGCACAGTTTTATAGGGCTCTACAAGGGCGGCGTAGGGAAGTACGAAATAGAACCATCCTTTGCCGATCACCTGCGTGAAATCTTGTTTTGTAGCCACGTAGCAGTAACGGTCTTCCGAGCGATTTTTGTTGCGAACATCCTAAAAGAATAAAATGGAGGGATTTTGCACCCGATTAAGAAGTGACCTCTCTCAACATTTAAAAAATTAGCACCGTAGTATCGTGCGTACCATCGTTTCCACTGTGGTATTAAATCCAAATTCGGGTTCACCCACAATTTTGTCAATTCTCATCCTCCACACAACGTCATACCAGCCCCTCGGAGGATACTTCAACGACACCGAACACTATGAAAAAAAAAAAAAAAAAAAAAAGACGAAACAATTTAAGCGAAAATGTCAAATAAATAATCTTCAACAAAAGAATGGGTTCTTACTTGAAATAATTTTGTTTTTTGTTTGATGACTTTACCGAATTCACTGATTGCCGCAAAAAAAAAAAAAAGAAATAAAATGTTTGGAATAACTTAATCTCGTTAAATGAAATCAAAATAGTTTAAATTTCAAAGTATTGTACCTCTCCTTCGTGTTGACCAATTTAAATTCATCTTTTGCCCACCAACTTCCCGTCGAATCCAGATAGTCTCTTCGTTCGGACATCGGAAGTTTACATGTGGCTATTATGTTACAAAGAAAAGATGAGTAAGGTCGGTTAAAACAACAGTCATCATTCTTCACCTCCGTCATACGAACCTAACGTCAGGTAAGCATGTTTCAAGGCCAATGTATCCTCCTCGGTGGATTTAATGTTTCCATTCCATGTCGGTGCAATGTTGTATCGTTTCAATACTTCCGCATACCCTCTCCAATCCTTCCAATCTCGTTTTAAGATGGAGTGCCAGAACGACGGGTCGAGAGTGTGGGTCATGCATCTTCGGTTGACCTGAGATTATGGTGAGAGAGTGAGGATAGGTCAATATACGTGCTCGTGGGTTTGTCACTGGCTTTTTATTTATAGTGCAAGCTTACCCTAGAAAATGATACAATGTCCGTGAAGTCCAACTCCCGCAAAACTCTCAATATAATGCTATGAGGAAATCTTGCAAAGATTTCGGCTGCCTCTTCGGATGTTTCGCATAAATCTTGCCAGCGCACATAGTCCACGATTGGACATGCCGCATAGGGACCGGTGTATTCTTGATTCGATTTGTAACAAGTGAACGAGGTGGTTGCGGTTGTGGAAGAGGAGAAAGGCGAAGAAGGTGGTGAAACTTTTTTCTGAAGGATTAGAGAAACTCCCTTTTGTGCGTGCATGCTTAAACAAAAATTAAAATATTTGAATATTTGGCGCGAGGTTTAAATATCTAGGTGCGGTTCCCACGGGTATTTTACAAGATCAAGTTGATTTGTCGAAAATAGTTTACAAAAGAAATATAGGCGGCGAATCGTAGTTTGGAAAGAAATGTTCTAAAAAATTTAAATTAAATAATTTCGTACAGATGTTTCATTAAAAAAAA